AAAAACTAAGGAGTGCATCCACTCTCCTTAGGAGAGTTTTTAGAAGGAATTGTCACAAACTCTAGGAATATATGCTCAAGTGCCTTTTCTCTGGGAGGAGGAGGGAGAAGAGACATTCTCAAAGCATCAGGCTTAACTTTAGCAGGAGAAGCTGCAGAGAGAGAAGAAAACACCACTGGTCCTCTCTGACCCACTCTCTTCCTCCAGGCACAGAAAGGCTGATGTTGTCTTTCAGGTGATTGATAACATTGATCATGGTACCTAGCACCTAAGAGACTGCCAGGCAAACGCTCACAAGGGCTGTACCCATTTAACTCACTTATTCCCACTAACAACCCAATGAGGTTAAGTGGACTCTTTATACTCATCTTATGGCTGAAGAAATTGAGGCCTAAAGGAATTAAAAGTCATATAGCTAGTTAGTGGTAAAGCCAGATTTGCACCCAAGCAATCTAGCCCCTGGAAGTCCAGGTCTTGTCCACTATATAGTCTTTCTTATGGAAGATACTGGGCTATAAGGACAATGGACACATTCCAGCTTCTATTTACTGCTTGTGTGCTAACCGCAAGGCATTATGAGTACATGATGGGATGCAGAGGAAAAAGACAAAGAACGCGGAAACCGGAGTCTCTCAGCTAGGACCCGGAGCAGGTTAGAGCCTATCAGGGTCAGGATAAAGTAAGAATCACTGTGGGGGCGGATGCATGACCAGTGTATAAACAACTGAGTTATAAAAGGGGACTAGCACACAAAGGAGGGTCCCTGCCTGAAGAAGAGGCCACTGTGCTGGCACTCTGGGGGCTCGGACCCTAGCTCGAGCTAGACAATAAAACTCCTTTTGATAATTACAGCCTCGGTGACTCTGTCTCTCTGTCCTGCGGCCTTGCGAATCTCAAATATAACACTTACTATCCCTCTCCCCAAACATCCTTCCCACGGGGCACATCCTACCTCTCTTCCTACCTCTCCCTCCTTCCCAGACTAGAAGTTATCCACAGTTGTCTAGGCATTTCTGTCCTCAGATTTCCCTTCCCTGACATTTTTCTTGAGGACATGTGGATGTGCACAGTAATGCAGATAATGTAAGATAGCAAATCTAAAAATAATTTCTCCTTAGCTTCGACATTCATGGCTGCTATTGTTGTTGTCCTGGCAGATTCGCTTTTCTAATTGTGTAAGTCTCCACGGAGCACCCAGGGAGGAATGGCTGGCTGGTGGCCCAGGACATCTGGATGTGGCTGGGAGCCTTGCTGGGCTGAAGATGCAGATCCGAGCTTTGATTTTTGCTGTGCAGAATAATTAAAATGATCTGTAATCATGACGTTTTAAATCAGCCATTTCAGTAGTCAATCAAAGCACTTCCAAAGAGTGGTGTGGAATGGGAACCGCAAGAGACAGATAGGTCAGGCCCCTTCGGGTCTTGAGGAATGCATAGAGTGCTGAACCGAAATGCAGCTCAAAGGTCAAATGGTCTAGACCCTCATGTTCCAGCACAGCAGTCCCCAACTTTTTTGACACCAGGACCATTTTCATGGAAAACTATCGCAGATGGTTTTGGGATGACTATAGTGTATTATATTTATTGTGCACTTTATTATTATTACATCGTAATATATAATGAAATAATTATACTTATTATAATATAAGTGGGGACCCTTGTTCTAGCAAGTGAGGCCCAGCCTGGGATCTCAACACTGTCTTTGGCAGCAGAACTGAACTAGAGCCTAGTTCTCATAGCTCCTGCCTGAATGGTTCTATTTCTGCAAGAATCATCTTTCGGAGTAGATGTGAACCTACTGATCAAGTATTATAGTTTACAAAAGCACCAAAGGAGAGATCAGAGCAAAATTTTATCATCGTCCTATAAGAAATTAAACTTAGATTATGAATATGCCTGGGTTTCTTAATTTTACTTAATAACTTGTCATGGGCTTCTGGTCTATGAATTTATATAAGTTATTCTGGAACCTATTTTTAATCCAGTGCTTCTTTTATAGGAATAACGCACTATACATTCAGAAGATGATTTTTTTTCCTTAGCCTTAATCAGTGGTGAAGTAAAAAGAGTCTCCATAGTTTACTTCTTTTTTTTTTTTTGCTTTGTTGTTTTCTGGGGGCTTGACTTGGGGAGGGGTCAAATTAATTAACTCATCCAGGGCCTCCGACTCCTCACTGTGAATGTGGGGAATGAAAGAGAGACTTGATGAGGATTCCATGAAATAACGTGTGCAAGTTTCTGGTAGGTGTACAGAAACCTACCAGAAACATAATAGGTGTCTGACACATAGCAGGTGTACAGAAACACTGAAAGCATTCGTACAGCTAGCCTGTATTACTTGACAGGCTTAGGTGATATTCATCTTTCCATCACGGAAATCTCCTCACCTCTTGATTGTGTTGTTTTAGGTGATGAACTATCACCTTTTCTATCTTCCTGAGGTCCAAGAAGCAGAGTGGGAGTGTTCTGGGTGTGAGAACCTCATTGGGAGATGAGTAGATATAGATGTAGGTAAGTCCGTCTGTCTATCTATACATCTATATCTATTTATCTTCTCCTCATCTCTATATGTCTAGCTATCTTTCCACTTTTTTCCTCTTAGGTTTCTTACTGTCTTTCTGAAACTGTACAAGCTATGGAAGAAGACATGCCTGGATTCAATGAACTTCTATTGATATGCTCAGTTTCCCTGATCCTTAGTGGCTTTGCATAGGAATGAAGATGATGATGCCCAATTCATAGGGTTGCTGTGAGAATTAGGCATATGATAAAGAAAGCACGTCACACAGTGCCAGGCACAAAGAAGTTAACAAAGAGTGGTTACTAATCACATCATGTTACTTCTACAATGTCACGTTAGTCTTTGGGCTCTGTCTGCCCAAAGACAGAGCGACAACTATAATTACTATAATTATAACTTCTTTTCCTACGTCCTATGGGCCTTTTCCTTGGTTTATGACAGATAACTTGAAAATGATTAATTTGTGTATGTTTGCATTATGTATTTTAAATTTAAATTTGTTTTCTGAAATGGATTGCCTTGAATTAAAACTCATTATTTTTTTTTGCTGTCATGCAAACTTAAAAACTTCTAGTGTTTTTTTTTTCTCATCAATTTGGTAATTTCTTCACTCCAGCTGAATATCATCTTTGGATTTGTCAGTTTCACTGTGTACCCCCTCATAGCCCTTTGTGATCTCAGTCTCAATCCCTGCATATATGCTATTTGCCCACATGGTGTTTCTATCTTGTGAGCAGGTTCCTTTTATGTCATCAAGCCACCTGCTGAATCTGTGATGACTAAATTTGGTATGAGATCTTGTCAAAGTGTTTTGGAAGTCTAAATAGAAGAAATCAACTGTTAGTTTTTCATTGGCATCTTTCTCTCCTAAAAGTATTTAAATAAACTTAATAGAGAATGTCCTCCTTGCACAAACATTCTTGCTTGCCCCCTTCAGGGTGTTTTACGAAGAATTCAGCAATCCTGCGTGTTATACAATGAGATGTCCTGGATAGTCGTGGTGTCTGCCCTGGAGCCCTTCTTAAAATGATGGCTACCTGGGCAGTCATTTAGTCCACTAGCTCTGGCTCAATATGCTATCTTGGGCTTTGCATTTTGACCAACATTCCACCCCACCCTAGTTTTTTTTGACAATTCAGAATCACCGGGCCCGACAACAGGTGTGCTTGTCTTTGGACCTCCCTGAATAGTCGTCACGATTAAGCTCTCTTTTCTCCAGAAGGCGGTTGTGGGATTAGGGCTTTGAGGAAAGCAGCATTTCAGGCTTCCTGCTCTCTTTTATTTTCATCTGGACAGGAGCTTTGGATCTAGGAGTCCTGCTGGTCTTAGAGCTGGCTCTCTGCCTTTGATGATTTTTTTTAAAAAAATCCCTACTTGAGCGAAGCAGCACCCATTTTAACTAATGTCTCTGACTCAGGCTTCTGCCAAAGGAAGGGGGATGAGTTTCAAAAATGAGCACTTTAATGTTCGACATCAAAAGTGTCTGGCAAAGAAGACTGTCCCAGTTCTGGTACTGTGAAGGTCAGCTTCATCACACAGAAATGCACGATCATTGCAACTTTCATTTTGAAAAGTATTCTAAGCCTGAAGATTAGTTACTTTATCTACTTGAAAAAATATTAGCATCTTTCTCTATAATGAAGCTAGTTTGTTTCCAAAATTCATTTTTAAAATCAACTATCATTTTCCATGAAGTCAATTTTAGGAGGGTTGAAAATACTTTTAATTTCAAAACAGCGAGAAGGCTCCCTTGAAAACCCAGAAGACCTTCCTTCGAAAAGATGTTTTTCTGTTCCTTGCTGGCCACAGACTGGGATCCGGCACAGCCTACTGGGGCAAGGCTGCTGCTTGGCTGGGGAAACCAAGGCTACCTCAGTATTGTCAGGGTATTTTCATGATTCATCATCATCATCATAATAATAATAATGAAACACTGGTGAAAAAAAAATGTTGATCTCCTGGGGAAGCCATTTTCCAGGAGAGAGTGTGGCTGATGACTTGGGGATGGTATCTCAGAAAGCCACAGGCTGCTCAGAAAATCCATCACACTCAGAGTCATAAGAAAGATTCTGGCTTTAGGAGCTCTTTCCAGTGAGAATTTTCCCCCACCACCCAATTGCCTACCTCCGTGTTGTGTTTCCAGGCTATGACCCTGTGGGTGCTGAGAAGGAAAGTAAATAACAACAGAATGCACAGGATTCAGCTAGCCCAAGGCTGGGCTCTGATGGGAGCCCACATCCTCTTCAGTGGGGGGCCCTGTGGTTATGTGGTCAGGAGCCTGGGGAGTTCCATTCTTTGGCCAAAGCAGGAGGAGCAAATGGAGGCTTTCCTTCCGTGGCATTGTTAATGGTTGAGTTTTTTTGTCTCCACGGAGTTGAATAATAACCACAGATAACCCTTCTTGAAAACTCTCTATTCTGCCTCTAAGAGTTAAAGAAATAATATTTTTCTCAATTCTATTCTTCCACATTTTTCTACAGAAACAGCATATCATGGGCTGCTTCTCGCCCTGAAAGCCTCTGTTCACTTGAGAAGAAGACAAAACCCTCCCATTCTGAGATGGGAAAGCAGAGGCAAAAGGGATACACTTGGGGAAAATCGCCTGATGCGAAGAGAAGCAAGACCCCTGAGTCTTGGCACCTTTAGCTGCCTCACTCACCTCAATGGACCCACGAATGAAGGAGCCACAGGTTGGAGCACATTGAGCACCATGTGCTCCCTGATTTGCTGACACGGGTCGCTAGAGCTGCGGGAAGGAGGGTGGTGGCGTGGGCATAAACGCTCGTCTCACAGGGAGTTGCAAGGCAAGTGGGGTATGTTTTGATTCCTTATTTCCATGTTCTACTCTCGGAGCTTCCTCCTCCTTCACCCACCACCCCCCGAGTGCCAGGCCTCTCCTTACCTGGGTGCAGAGAGAGGCGTGACTTGGAGGTGGGTGTGGAGGAGCCTCAGATCATGGCGACTGGAGGTGGGAGAGATCCCAGGAAGACGGAGGGCAGGAGGCTGGAGACGCAGGGGCAGGCGTGGAGGAGAGGGGGCGCTTGAACGGAGAGGCTGTGAGAAGGGTGAGCCCACAGCGGGGATTTAGCTTCTGATCAGCAGTGTGTGGTCGGAACGAAAACCTTAGCTTGCTTTATTTCCCTGGAGGGGTGGGCGGACAGGGAGGAGAGGAGTATACTAGCCCCTTCCAAAGGGAGGGCAATATCAGAAGCATCCTGTGATTAATTGCTCGCCACACAGGCCCTCCTCGAAGCTGGAGACCTGGGAGAGGCTTGGCACACTGGCAGCTGCTCCGCGGCCGTCCAGAGGGAAACAGCTGTGCCCGTCTCAAGCTGCCCACCTGCCCGCATGCTGTCTGTCCCATCGGTGCCACACTTTCCCTAGAGTGTTCCTTGCTTCTCTCCCCATAGCAATTCCCACCTCTGCGTGCTAGACCAGGCGGCCGCTCCAGACCCTGCGGGGAAGTGGCAGGTGCTGACAGATCTAAGATGTCTTAATTTGTCCAATGGCTGGAGCCGCTGGGAGATGGCCGTTTAGATGCATGAATGAATTCCCTAACTCTCACACCTGTGCAGGGACCTCGGGAACCTGCTCTAGGAAGCCTACACCACAGGATACTCCTGACACTGGAGCAGGAACTAGACAATCCAGGCAGGTCGCCTTAAGTTTAGGAGCTGAAGACTCACCCTTATCCTGCATGTGTATATGAGCACCGGAGTCATGGGACTCCAGAGCTCATCTGCTATAATCAGTTTATTCACTCATTAATTCACTGATTTAACAAATGTTTATTGAGTACCTGCTATGTGTCAGGCTTTGATCTGAATATTGGGGTGTAGATCAGTGGGCAAAACAGACAAAAATTTCTATCCTCACAGAGCTTACCTTCTAGGGAGGAGAGTAGACCACAGTCAAATTAAGTAAATTATATAGTATATTTGAAAGTAATAAGTCCAACAGGGAAAAACAAAGGACAGAGAATGCGAGGGTGTAGCCGGTAATTTTAAATAGGATATTTGGGGAAGGCTTTAGTGGGAAAGTGATATTTGGTGCAAAACGTAATGGAGATAAATGAGTGAACCATGCGGCTGTCTGTGAGAAGAACATTCCAGGCAGAAGAATTAGCCGGTGGAAGGCTGGAGTGGGGAGCAGGTCTGGCATATTCCTGGCCCTGCGGGGAGGCCAGTGTGGCTGGGGTGGAGTGAGTAAGGATGGGATTGTGGCAGGTGAGGCCAGGGAGTAGTGGGCAGCCAGTAGATGACTTGCAGGTGACTGTGAGAACGTGGCTTTTACTCTGTGCACCATAGGAAGCCCCTGGGGGTTTCCAGGAAGGGGATGATATGAAAGGCTCACTCTGGCTGGTGTGTGGGGAACTGACTGTAGGGAACCAGGTGGGAGTAGGGAAGTCAGCTTCCAGTGATCCAGGTGAGGGAAAATGTGACTTGGATCAAGTTTGCAGTGCAAGTGATGAGATGTGGTTAGATTCTAGATATATGTTAAATATAGAGCCAGCAGGATTTTCTGATGGATTAGATATGGGGTGTAAAAAAAGAAGGGACTCAGAAAGGCTTTTTCCCCCTGAGCAACCGAAGGGTAGAGGTATCATTACCTGAGATGAGCACAGCTGCAGGTGGAGCAAGGAGGTGGCAAGATCAGAAGTTCAGTGCGGGACATATTAAGTTTGAGATGTCTATTAAACGTCCAGGCAGATCTGTCTAGTGGGCAGTTGGGCAGGTGGTCTTCAATTCACTGGAGAGATCCAGGTCAGAGGTATAAATTTAACTCAGCAATAATAGGTGGTATTTGAAAGGAACTGGGAGAGATTACTGTGGGAATGTGTGTAGTTAGAGTAAAAAAAGGGGGGGGGGTTTCTGAAAGGTTATCCCTGGTGTACTCCAGTGTGAGGAGTTTAGAAAGATGAAAAGAAACCAGACAGGAAGACTGTGAGAAGTTCTGTGGTCTCCATTTGTCAGCTGAGTCAACCCTACGCTTGTGTTCTGTCTCCCAATTTGCATATATACACCACTGTAGAATATTTACATGGAGAACCATTCTCTGATGTAGGTGAGTGACTTCCCCTAGTGATGATAAACAATCATGTCAGTCCTACATGATCCTTACACTGAACGACAGGGAACAGTTAGTGCCAATCACATGAGGTGCAGGGGTCCTACTTCTCCCATCTCCCTAAAGCCTTTGGAGAAGGAAAAAGTTGGAAACAAAACTCTGAGTTCTAAAATTCTAGGTTTTTTTTTATCCCACTTTGTCAGTTTTTTTTTTTATTGGAGGGGAGATATGTATACTTTAGAAAATAATTTACCTTATCTGAGCCTTAGTTCACATGACTAAAATACAAGAATAAGAATAAGAATACAACCTGTGTCTAATTAGCAGATTGTTTTGAGATTTTAAGTGAGCTCTTATTTACGAAAAATATTTTGTGAATTCTAAAGTGCTACATACATATCACTTACAAACATTATTGCATTGTGGAGCCATGATTGACATGTTTTCCAATCTAAAGCTCCATCCCAGCTCTCCCTGCCACTGAGCTATCGGAACTTAGAGTGCTCGTTCACTCCCATTCTTTTTCTGCACGTGGTTTCCCCATAAGGTGAGAACCAGCTGGGAAAGAACTCCATCTGGACAGGCCTCCTTAGTGATGAGAAGTCATGGATGCGATGACATCATTCGCAAATAGCAGTGTAGTCACTGTTCAGAATTTTGGAAACGGTGCCAAGAGGCTCTTTGGTCATAATTTTCAGCGTAGATAAGCCCTGAACTAAAGCAAGGTTTACCAGTGACAGGAGTTTGGGGTTTTCTACATAATGTTTTCTTTGGCTGGCGGCTGGCTTTATTTAAAGAGTTGTGTCAACAAATGGGATTCAGTATTTGGGCCTAGAGATATCTCAGATTGTTGGTGCCTCTGTCCGCTCTTGGATGGTTGCTGTGAGTTTTCTCAGGCTTCAAGTCATGTGGGATCCGTGTTTGAACAGAGGATGAAAATGCTCACATCATCTCCACATTCCCCAGCCATTTGTCACCAGACTGCAGATTGGCTGGGGGGGTTGCCTGCTTCTAGGGAGAAAAGAAGCTTTTCTCTTACTCCAGCAGAGAAGAGGTTGGTAAAGTTATGAGTTTGATGACTATTTATGAATTTAAGGAGCAAAAGTTAATGTCTCTTGGGGCTCAGCATAATTTTTTAATAAATTTATAGAAATATAGATGATAGGACAAAAAGCAATGGAGTAAACCTAGATTATCAAAAATAAATTATAATGATACATAAGGAAATAAACAGTATAAAAAAGAAACAAAAAAGAGATTATTACCAAAACCTTAAGTTGGTTTTTTGAAAGTTCTAAGAATATGGATAAATTTCTGAGATTCTTAACACGGAAAAATGTGAAAATACATAAATGAATAAAAAATGAAAAGGTAGAAATTAAAATAGATACAGTAGAGATTTAAGAGAATATCATTAAAAAGTCTTCATGGATGCAATAGACATATATCTGAAAAAAAGCCTATTGGCCCAAAAAGAAGTAGAAAATTTAGATAGAATAATAATCATTAATGACATTGAATTGTTGTTAAAAAGATAATCTAGATAATCTCTCTGCCCTTCTTACTATTCTCACGGAAAATGTTTTGCAGGTAGATTTTACCATAGTGTCAAGAGACACATAATTCTCAAAATATTATGTAAGTTTTATCAGAAAATGAAAGAAAAGTTGCCCCGCTCATTTTATGAGATTTGCATAATTTAGATTAAAATAATTCTCACAAGTATACTATAAAAATGTATAAATTAATTTTATAGATAAAAACAGTTTAAAATATTACCCAAACAAATTCAACATTTTAAAAAAATGTATTTTTACAATTTTCCAAGGAATACATGGATAGTTCAAGGCTGGAAAAGCTATTAATTCACTATTACATTGGTGGATTAAAGGAAGAATATAGGTGCTTATCATTAACTAGTATTCTAATGATTGACCCTTCTCTTATTATCTGTTATCTTCATTTGAGGTCTACAGTATCACCACTTCATGTCAGAAAGTCTTGTCAACATTGTCTATGCATTTCTAATATTACTTTTAACATCTTTGATGATTTCTGCTAATAAAAGCTGAGCCGTATGAAGATGAGGGCAATATTTTTAATCTCCTTGCAGTCATATAATCAGTTCCTCAAATGAAATCATACTGTGGAAATGTGCTCCCAACCTTCCTGTCCATTTATCCACTGTCAATGTCTTCAGCATTTGTATCTTACTGTACTAACCATACTTCCCATCCCTGCCCATCTCCATGCCCTTTCCTCTCTACTAGCAAGCAGACGCTTAAGTCCCATGACTATCAATCACTAACCTTCCTCTAAGATACTATCTACTGAATCTTTTACCTCGTTGTGTACTTGTTTATGTAGTATGACTGCCTACTTATTACAATTTCAGCCACTCTACTGGCTTTGTTTCTGACCGGACACATACTAACCTTTTCCAATTGGCCAAACTTCCAGTGGGTCCCTCCACATGCACGATAGTAGTCTGCCTATTTGCTGATTGCATCTGCTTAGCATCTCTGCCAACCACCCTTCTGTTTTTCTCAAGCTTCCTTCTGCTCACTTTACTCTTAAACAGGCATTCCTTACTTACATTGCTACTCCTGCTGCTTCTACCTCT